CAATAGGGAAATAGTCCAAGGGAAGAAGGGTGAGGGGTGAGGAGGAGGGGAACGGGAAATGAGAGGAATAAAGATGTGTCATGAACAAGAGCTTAATAACACCAATTAATATAGACACTATATACCATAACATAAAGTATGACAAATGATATCAACAAGTATGAATAACAGGATGGGGAACCCAAGGAGGAGGGGGAGAGGAGGGAAGGGGAAGGGGATTAAAAAAAAGAAATAAACTATAACATGTACATGTAGCCACTCCCCAGGATGCTTGTAAACTGCATGAATTGCAAACATGTACTAATACAGTAAAAATTTCTGTTGAAAAGTTCTTTTCCTTCCAATACCATAGCACCACAGGCTGGAGACCAAGCCTTTAACACACAGGCCTTTGGGTCACTTAGCCAACTCACAGCAGATGCTGGCCTTCTTATCAGGGGGATCTGGGAGTATGATTTGCAGTGCTTATGTCACTTTCCTGGGTTAGTTCCCAACCTTACTTTTCAGTCCCTCTGCCGCTCTTCCACCCCTCCCATAGGCCTTTCCTTTTTGTATCTAAGCATGTACTGGATAGTCCAGTTACGCCAAACTGCCCAGTGGCTCTCACATGTCCCATGACTGAGCACGCTCCTTTTACCCGCCTTCCTCCCTGGCAGGCTCTGACTCATCTTTCAAGATTCCTTTCCAGTATGACTTTCTTCCAGTGAACTTTCTGACTCAAAGCAAATTTTTTTTTTTTGGTTTTTCTCTGGTACCGGGAACCGAACTCACGACCTTGCGCTTGCCAGGCAGGCGCTTTTGCCGCTGAGCTAAATCCCCAGCCCTCAAAGCAAATTTAGTGGCATCTTCTTTTGCTCTCCCATAGTACCCAGGACCTGCTTAAATTATGAAACTCAGTAATCTGGAATGATTAATTTGCAGTCAGCTCCGCGCGCTGTCCCAGAGGGCAAAGACTTCATCGCAGACACACGCACCCTCTACTCGGTTTCTCAACAGACATCTCAGCCTGGCAAATTCTTTGCTGTTGGAGGTGTTACCATGTACACTGTAGGATATTTAGCAACATCATGGCCTTTATCTACTAAATGCCAGTAGCAACCATATCGCCAGTGTGACATTCAAAAGTGCTTCTGAACATTGCTTCATGCCCCTTGGGGACAAAATTGCCGTGGTCAAGAATCACAGTCCTAGTCTGAGCAGAGAGGCTGATAGATACTAGATGACTGCTGAACTAATAAATCAGTACTCAAATTACTCAGTAAAAGTGAATCAAAAAAATAGCAAACTTACTGTAAAAAAGTTAAAGACCAACAACACAGTATTATAGCTTCTATGTATTAATCAAAAGAAATTGAAACCTTCAGCAGGCAAGTTTCTTTACAGATTGCTGTGCTTTCTTCCTATCTTTGTTTGTACTTCGCTCTTGACCTATGAACTCTTCACATTCTTATGCTTTATTTTTTTTCCATCAATCCAAACTTTGTGCTTTACTTCAAGACAAAGATTGACCTGTCTCCTTCATAAAGCCTTCCCCGATTCACTTGTATTCATTCATGTAAGAACACATGTGTGTATTATTTTTAGTCCTTGTCCTATTATCTTTCTATTTCCTGGGAGGACTTACCCTTTCAAGTTTTTCCTGCCCTTAGCACTACTGCAAGTTTTATGAACAATAGATGTTTAGCTTTTGCTTGAAGTGTGTTTTCTTTAGGCAACTGGCAGGTGTGTTAAACCTGTAATTTGCATGGTCCTAACAGTTTTGTTTTTAAGAGGCACAGGACTTACTCTGTCATATTTTGAAGTTTTTAAAAAATAGACTCATAAAAATATGAATAATAGTAATCTGCAAGTGTTTCAGGATTTCTGGGAGAAAGCATTCAATGCAAAAGCAACGAGAAGACAGAAATGACTGCATTTTGTCTTCAGTTCTGGTTGTGTTCAAACTCCACTTAGCATCTGTTCTCATTGCTTGTAAAAACTATGAAAAACTCCACCTTCCTACTTCATTCTGTGTGCTCCAGACCCACAAGCACCCCTTGCTTTCCTCCTTCCTTGGGCACACACACAGGGACTCCTGCCCATGAACTTTCCCTAATGCCTGGGTTTGGAAATGTCCCAAACCTTCTGATCTACAGAGCATCTTTTCCAGCTTTTCTTGGATGCATTCATACTTTCTCCACGTGTGCTCTTCCATGAGGCATCTGATCCTCCGTGTTCAGTGGCAGTTCAGAGGACAACCCCTAGAACTCACCAGCATGGCCGCTGAGCTCCCCATCTTGCGACAGGATAAACGGAGATTCCGGAACAGAGCAGGGTGGGGAGAAAACATTTCTAGTGTCACCACTAATTTTGACACCTCTTAATAGATGAAAGATGGGTTCTGTTCAAGTCCTGCGCTCTGTCTTTGGCAGATCAACCTCCTGAGGTTTCATCTCTCCAGTTGCAAAGGTTCAGGCTCTCTATGTATTCCTACTGCTCACCTTCTCTTCTAGGCTGACCTCTCCTTCCATTTAAAATACAAAGCCCAGGGGCTGGGGATTTAGCTCAGCGGCAAAAGCGCCTGCCTGGCAAGCGCAAGGTCGTGAGTTCGGTTCCCGGTACCGGAGAAAAACCAAAAAAATAAATAAATAAAATAAGATAAAATAAAATAAAATACAAAGCCCAATCACCCCTCCTGGGTCCTCCTCCTCCTCGCTACCAACTTCTTGAATTATCACCTCTTTGTTCTTGCCTCCTATGCAGACTCAGCTCAGTGGTCTGGCAACTCCTAGTAACCCCTCACTTCTCTGAAGATACTCACACTTTCTCAGGACTGGGGCCTTCCATTCTGCCATATTTTATGGCTTTCTCAGTACTCCAGATCCTTCACTGTGCTGCAGTCTTTGACGTAGCTGCTTCTGGGAAGTTGTCTTCTGGCTTAGTTTTCTATCTCTTGAATTTTATCCTGTTGAATGTTCTTTCTCAAATGTCTTCCTAGTCTCATGCCCCCTTTAGGTGTAGGTTACTTTAGGGGTCTATCTTCAGCTTTATTCTTTTTTCCATTTATTTCTCCTCCTATAGATGACTTTAATATTACCACACCTTCACGTAGCCAAGGAGTGACTACTAAATGCTTCTCTTTCCCAGCCTCTGACTCCAGGCTTGCTCGTTATCAAGTGTCTCAGATCATCATGCCCAAACCAAATGCAGCTTCCTTTCTATGTCCAAGCTTGCTCTGCTACTGTCCTTTGGTCAGACTGTCTAGCCCAGGTAGAAGCAGAATTTCTCTATGACTTACCAGCAATAGTGCTGCTGATCAGACTTTGACATCTATTGACTCTCATTCTTTTCATGCCAATAGGGGATCAAAATGAAGTTCATTGCCTCTGTTCTCTTCCTGCCCTTGTCTAACTCATGTGCTAGGAGTTCTCTGAACAGTATCTCCTGAACAGTATCTCCTGTCTAACTCATGTGCTAGGAGTTCTCTGAACAGTATCTCCTGTCCCAAAAGTTCCTTGTTGGGAAGACACCAAAGTACCAAGCCCAAAGTGAACCTGGGATTCGAAGCTCCCCATGACTACACCTGTTCCTTCAGAGCTCAATTTGTTACTTCATTGACATGCAGGGGGTGGTCCAGCTCCAGCACTAATGCATTCTCATCATGGTGTGTATCATATACTTTTTTTTTTCAACTAGAAAGTCAAGGTCCTGGCCAAAGGTTCCTGTGAAGCACCTTTATTTACCCTTGGCCTCAAGGCAGAGGTAATTGCTATGTCCTATGTCCACCACAGCATCTCCTCTACAGTGCCATCATACCAGCAGGTGATAGTTTCATGTTGCCACAGAGTTTAAGAAGCCCTTGATCTACTGGGCTGTGAATGATGTTTTATGTGTTGACTAGTCATCCATCCACCCATCCATCCATCCAGCTATTCACCCAAGCTACCCCACCTATCCATCCATCTTTCCATAAACCTGGCTACCATGCCTAAGATCCCTCCCAGTGATAATACACTAGAAATATTAACTTCTACAGAGACACAGTGCATGCTGCAGGCTAGGTATGTAGTACAGGCATCTTGGATCAGTCATCTCTTGACTGTTAAATTTTCAGTAGTCTAATATGGAGTCATATTTCCATGATTAAGCCACGTAGTAAATTTTGTCTTTTTTCCTATTTAAAAAAATTACTGGGCCAATAACTTAGTAATAATTGTATTGAATGAACAAATGAGTTAATGCCGAGGCACTGGTGGAAGATGGACTTATATACAGGTATGAACAAATGGGTCTCCCAATTTTTAAAAAGTATTTAAAGGTTATCAGTAACATGTACTGAATAGTATTCTCTTCCACAAAGCACTTCCTGAAATGGCTGTGCACACAGTGGCATGCACAGAGCAGTTAGGGTCCAGCAGTAGCAGGCCAGCAGCCCTGCAGCAAGACGCCCTAGACTCTGTGCCCAAGACCTTTCCTGCTAGCACCCAGACCAGTGGTGGTGAACCTATGACACATATGTTATTGTTCTTCTTTTAAGACAAAAGATGTTAATGTATGAGATTTTTTCTTCCCTAAACTAAAAACCTCAGTACTAGGGTTTAATTGCTGTGTTGGCACTTTGTAATAAGTGGGTTTTGGGCTGCAGTTTGGCATTTGGTCTCTAAACGGTTTGCCATCACTGATGACGCTTACCTGTCCTGACCAGTCTTCACCGGCAGCATCAGCTTAATTTTTAAGCTGTTATTTTCCAATTTCACCACTCCCCCTTCTACTCTTTCTCACAATTTTTACTTTTCATCTGCTTGCATGTATTACATTACTTTCCAATCCTATGACCCTCAAACATAGATGAAAGAGAAACTACACTGGGTGAGATGGTCTCAATTAGACCAAACACCATAAATATTTTCACATTTTCCATGTAGGAGCAAATTAGACACCAACCTTGATGTTACTGTTCATATCTTTTAAATGAACAAAACTGGCTTAAATCACAATAACCGTGACAATACAAACACCTGTGTTTGCTTTAAAGTCTTTATTATCCTGAATATAAAAGACAGAAGTCCTCTAGGATATAACAGAGTTCTTTATGTGGAAACATTATTTTTTTACAAGTGAAAAAATAAATACCTCTTGGAATAAAGGCTTATATGCTAATATGTGCCATAAAAAAGTAGAGTTTTAATATTTGACAAAATGTCTGTGCAAAGAAACAAATGCATAACACATTACTGCTACATTAAGGCAATATGAAAAGTATACTCAGAAATCTCAGTAAAGTGACAGTGTAGGTTTCTAGCTTTAACTGAGCTAGTATTGCACCCGATAAGGTCATCCAGGTTTCCTGACATCCTAGAAAACCTGCTAACTGACCAGCTTCCAAAATGCCCAAGGAGGAGTGGAAAATACGTTTAAGGATACCAGAACGAGGGCCGGGGATATAGCTCAGTGGCACAAGCGCCTGTCTGCCAAGCACAAGGTCCTGAGTTCGATCCCCGGAACCAAAAAAAAAAAGAATACCAGAACAAAAGGACCAAAACCCCTCTGAGACACAGAGGGGGCAACCAAAAGATTTAAGCATTTACACACATACACATATACACACATACACAAACAGAACAAAAACAAGACAAACTCAAAACACACACAAGAGAAAACCATACCGAAAAACCTATTGTAAGGCTGTAAAAGGTTTGATCTTTCTGGCAACATGGCAGCCATGGTGGTGCTGGGCTCAAGGGCTCGGAGGAGTGAGGAATGGCATTCAGAAGCCCCATACTCACGAGCTCGGCTTTCCCTTCCCAAGGAAAATGCTCTCCCTTTTCAGTCTTAAAATACTCCACTAACTCAAAAAAGCCCAAGACTTGCTTGTCTACTGCTACTTTTAACCACTTTTTTCATAATCAAAAAGCATGGGGCAAAAGGAGAGGAAAAAAGGAAAAGGAACAGGAAGGCTTCCTGTTGGATTTTACCTGTATTCTCTCCTAGGCAGACTGGCTTAAACCTGACAGACAACATTGTGGCCAACCTTTTAAAAGTCAGGTTTTGTTTTTGTTTTTTGGACACAAGATATTGCTAGGTTGTCCAGGTAGGCCTTTAACTCTCCATCCTCCTGCCTCAGCCTCCCAAATGCTGGGATTAGAGGCGGATGCCACCACCACGGGATTGATTTTAAAATCTGTGTTCCAGGTGAACAAGTTACAAAAACAGAAATGACATAATGACAGCTATTTAAGAAAAATTTTCCTATTAAAAATGTTCGGTGCTCCATGGCCATACAAAAAGAACCAAGTAAATTCCTAAAACTACTTCTTACAAAATCTGCTGCAGTTAGGAAACTTACCTCGGGATACATTATGGAGACTTACAACACTATTTCCTAAAAGGTACCCACTTTTTGGCTATGTTGCCACTTAACTGACAAATATTTTACCTGTTCCTTTATTGAATCATAAAAAAACCAAAGTCCAAGGAATGTGTTTGTGTACCAGAGCGCTTCCGTGTTCCCCTCACTGGACTGGTCGGTTCTATGCATGGATGGTTTCTGCAATGAGCTGTATTCCTGTTTTTCTTCTTCTTTTTCTTTGTGTTTTAAACGTTGCATGGCAGATGGGTGTTGGGAGTGAAATTATTTTCTCCACAAAATTATCATTCTTATAGTTTACAATAGTGCAGTTCGTGGAAACATGGCATGTCCCACTGGTGCAGGACAGATTAGATGACAGTCAGATTGAGAAGACTCGTGTGAGTTGGCAAATAAACGTGCTGGACGTGTTCCACTCGAGACCGACAGACCGGGCAGGACTGCAAGAGAGAAGCCAACAGTGCTGGTTAGGGCAGCTCTGCAGGCCCTCGGTGGTGGTGTTCACCCTTAGTACCTACCTACCACTTTGAGTTTTCTAAATAAGCTGTGATCACAATGACTTCTAAGCTTTCAATTGGCAGAGATCTTTCCTAATAGGTTTGACTGTTCAGACTTTACAAAGGCTTCAAAATATATATGAAAATGCATATACTGAAGGAAATGAAGTGGGCTTTCCATGAAGCTCTCAACAAGGCACAGTGAATAAAATGATTACTGCAGAGTTCTTTCTGTGTAGGCTGTGGCCCCACAAAAGTAGATTATCACACCTTAGGCCACCATACATACACACACCATATAGGAGACCCTTCCAGAGACCGTGAGGCCTCACTCAGGTGGCTGATGGCAGAGGCTCACATGGCCTGAATATGGCTCTGCTCCCACTCACAGGCAACAGGCCTGCTTTCCTGGTAGCTTCTCAGCAAGCACATGCTCTTCATTAACCACGATGGAAGACGGAAGCGCAAGGTCAGAACATGTGGCCTGTTCCCAGGGAAGCCACTCCTCGAGGTGGCATGATCTACTCTGAGGAAGGGCACAGGTGCCCTGTGTGCACATTCCCCAGCCCTAAGAGCAGCTGTCAGATCAGCAGTGTCTGAAGGACTAGGTGACATTTAGTGTTAGCTTCAGTTTTATATAAACCACAGTGATTGAGCAGATGCTTCTAAGAAATAAAACCAAATGAAAAAAGTATTGGAACAGAAAATACGTAAAAGAAAAAAACCTGTTATCTTTTATTTTCTCTATTAAGATTAATTTAACTTGCTAATCAGCAGCACCCCAATCCAAGAAGCCATTAGAGACATTTATGGTAATAAATAGAAATTAATCACAAATAATTAAAGTAAACGAGCCACCACGGCAACTGCGCTAATTATAACCCCTAAATTGAGGTATTAATTTCCCAAGTACTTTAGGCAAATTCTAAAACCTTCCCCCTAAACATCAGGAGTAAGAGGCCACATGAAATGGCAGAAGTGGGCCTACATTCTAGCCCTGGGTTTATGAATCTGGACCTCATTTCTAGAACTTGAGAACATGTCTAAGATGCAGAGTGACTATGCGGGGAAAACAGTATGCAAATCCAAACATGCTTCCAAAGGGCCACCAAACCCAAAGCCTTCCCAGCTAGAGATGCGCACTCCTTGCGCATGAGCTACCCGCGGGTGCCCAGCAACTGCAGCCCGGAGGGTGAAAGCGGGCCAGCGCCCCTCACCTGCAGCTGGGCCGCGCAGCTCTCACAGCACACAGTGTGGCCACAAGGGCAGAATGTGGAGTTGATCTCCTCCTCGCAGCACACCATGCACAGCATGGCTTCCTTCAGCTTGCGCAGCTTCTCCTGCAGCGCCCGCGTCTGCTGGCAGCTGAGGCCCTCGCAGCTTGTGCAGTTCATGCTGCTCCCGGAGGACTTGAGCGGGGAGCCGGGAGGGCTCTGGCCGTTCCTGGAGACGAGGTCCAGCACGCCAGCATTGTACAGAGCCCTCCTGGCGTGGTCATACACCTCCTTTGATGTTCTTTTAATGTCGAAGACATACTTCTTGCCGAGGTTGATGTTCTCATTCAGAAAGAGAGAAGCCAAATGGCCCTTTAAGTCACGACTGTACTGCATCATGACGGCGCTGGTCACCGTGTCACACCTGCAAGGAAAGGTTGCACACCTGCTTTAATAGTGAAGGGCAGGGAACTCCGTAAGTCAGACCTGCAGACCCTGCCTCAGTGAGACGCGCACATCAGCACACGTCTTGAGCTCCGGTGCACAGGCCCAGGGGAAGTTCTTTCCACTTTACGTGTGTCGAACAGCTCAGCATTCTCAAGGGTCTCCAAAGTCCCTGCAATGAAGCAGTGTAAATACGGAGACAGAACACTGAGCTCCTCTTCTGCGGTATGAGTTGCAGGCCCAAACAGCTTGTGGAAGAAAATAAAGGAAATTCCTTTTTGAAGACTTAGCTTTTATGTTAAAAATGTCTACAAATTTTCCATTCTGCTCCACAATCTGTGTGTCTATTTTAAAAGTGAAAAATATGTAAGACTGCCTACCAATTAAATTTCTTGGCTTTAATTTTCCAAATATTTGAATCCAATCACAGCTTGGCTTGTAAGCGCTCTCTGGAATGCAGGACTGATAGTGTTAATAAGAACTCCTTATATAGGTAGTGAGGATTTGGGATAGGTTGTCTCCCAGAAGGGAAAGCCGACCTGTCACCCAGTTGAGAAGGAGCAAGAGCAAAGCTTGAGGCGCAGGCCCATGCCCCCTTGCCCAGGGTTATTGTGGGAGAGTGGGTGTGAGAAAATAAGGCAAGAGAGAAGCTGGGGCGGGTTGCAGCTCATACATATGCGCTCTCTGTGGGGAAATGGGGCTGTGTTCACAGGGACACTCCCTTGCCACTGTAAGAACAAAATGTTCAAAAGCAGCCTGCGTCTTAGATTCTATACAAGACCCACTGACAGCATGATAAAAGAAATCATAAAAACCTGCCTGTCACCTAAAAATCTTAATGAGCGCTGCGATGCTAAGGTACGTGCCTGTAGAAAGCGTGTGTTTCGGTGATGGCTCGGTAGAGCCCGCTGGCCGCCCTGGTGCTGATCATTTTGAACAAAAGCACGATGCTGTTCCCAGACTCCTTGGTGACGGTCAAGTACACATTCTTTCCTGACTGAGTGGCCATCTGCACCACAGGGTAAGCTATCCTAAAAGACAAGAAGAGAAAAATAAGCCAGTCCAGAAGCAGCATTTTGTCCCATCATCCCTTTGTAAAACTCAGCAATAAACCAGACACCTAGCCCAGGCTGTGTTACACAGACACTGACAAGCAGTTGTGTCTTTACAGAGAGAAGCACTGGAGAGAGTTTGGGTGTGGGTGCAGATAAGTGTGTGGAGGTCAGAAGAAGATTTTTCATGGCCACGAACAACTTATTTGAAAAATTTACCAGATTGGTACACACTTGAAAGTTAGCACTTGAAAAAATAATTACATGGCTATTAAGGCCTGAGTATAAAATTAATGTGAATTCCAAAATGAAACAAGGTATTCCTGCAAGATAACTGCCTCCTGAACCCCTCTCCATTTTCTATTTTCATAGTGAGAGCTACAGATATGTACACGTGGTTAGGGCTAAGGATAGTTAAGCCAGGGTTACCTATTAATTGGGCTAAAGTCATCCTTACAGAGGGAGATTCCTTCGGGCCCCACCCCAATGAGGAGCTTCTGGCCTTCACTGTCCCTCACAGCATGCCACTCGATGCCGTAGTTTTCCATTGCCGACACGAGCTGCAGAACTTGGTACTCAGCCGAGGCCTGGCTGGTCCCCTCCAACTCCTTATGCTTTGCAATGATGCTGCAGGACACCAAGAGAGTGCAGGGTTAGACACAGAGATTAATTTGTAGGCTTTAAGGATTAATCTCTGTAATGTTCCCTAGTGAAGTACGGTGATGTTGTCATTTATGAATCACAACAGCACAAAACTGTATATTACTAATGCCCCATTTATTTAGCAAACTTACTGTAAGATATTTTTAAGATACTCTTCAAGATCTTGACTATCAAATATTCAAAAGAGAACACTTTTGAGGATGCTGGCTGTTGATAAAAGAATTATGAAAAATCTCAAAAAAAATGTATATAAGACAAATTTATACGCTGGAACTCTGCATATGTTTATCTATATGTATGTAAGACATCTCGTTATAATCTAGCATTGCCAGTGATTGATTAGATCATCTGCAACTGAAAGAAGTACACCCTTATCAGCTCTACTGGGATGGATGGATCCTCATGTGGCCCATGGTGACCCCACCCGTGGTTATCTATGTCCCATGTAAGTTCCTTCCCTTGCGTGTGGGCTGGATTAGTGACCTGCTTTTATGATGAACAAAATATGAGATAGGTTATGGGATGTGACTCACTTCTGGGATTAAGTTTCAAAAGACTCTGGCTTCCTTCTTGGCTTTTGCTCCAAGCTGGACCACCCATCCTGGGGGAAGCTGGCTACCACACCATGGAATGGGCCCAAGGTTCACATGGCAGAGGCAGTGGGCGGCCAGACCCTAGAAGCCCTCCCACTCACATGGGTCCCTCCCTCAGCTGAACCTTCAGATGAGACTGAAGTCTGACAGCTGACAGCAACCTCCTGGGAGGTCCCAAGAGGAAACTTATGAAGCTGGGGCCAATTCACTAGAGAGTCTCAGCCACAAGAGGAGGTTTGTTATTGTAAGCTACCAAGTTTTGGGGCAGCTTGTTATACAGGAATAGGTAACTGACATTCTGTATTAGGCCTCTTGATTTAATTTTTGCCAGGATGAAGAAAATACCTGTATATTTTTTATTGTAAGACTTTATATTGTAGGACACGTGCATTTTTAAAAGATTGGAGATTTAAAAAACTCTCACTTTATATATCATTTCATATAAAGGCATTTATTTGTACAGTCTATGTTCTGTATTTATATAGTTCTCAAAATGCTAATAAATCTTTTGAAAATAACTGGTTAAATCAGGTTATGACCCAGCCTTGACATCATGGATCGTCCCTGTGTATCAGAGGCTTATTTTCCTCTGGAGGTTGCTGTTGCATAGACAGCTCTGTGAACACACTCACTAGCCGCTCAGCAGCCTCACCTGTTCAAGGTGGCACTAGAGAGTTCCTTTGCACACAACTCCTCGTAGTTGTACTTGGCAGTGTTCTGGTTGTAGTCCCCAAACTTGGTCTGGGCCAGGAGGGCACTGAGCTCCACCGCCTGCTCTGGGGAACACTGGAGGTGGCCTGCCAGGAGGGACTCCTTGATGTGCAGGAAGAAGATATGCCTGCAAGGAAAGTAGGAAGGAGGTTAGACTCAGGGACAGGAGAGTCCCAAACTCAGCCTGGTGGACCGGGGGCAGCTCAGGGGTAAAGCTTGCCTCTCCTGTAAAAGGCCCTAGATTCGATGGCAGCAGGGCAATAAACAACCTGCCTAGCACTTTCACAATCGAGTACTTTCCTTTTAAGTAGGGAACAGAGAACTATTTAATTTAATTTTATTTATTTATTTATTTTTTCCGGTACCGGAAATCGAATTCATGACCTCCCGCTTGCCAGGCAGACACTGTGCCACTGAGCTAAATCCCCAGCCCCCAAGCAATTTTAAAAGTCATGCTGAATACGCTCACCATTATAGAACCCCTTTTATCAGGAGCACCCAGGCAGAATAAGTCTAAGGACTAAGTTTCACTGTAATAAAAATTACAAATACAACACATCTACTGAAAGTAAGTTCAGTAGCAGATAGGTCACAAGGTATAAAATAATTATAGACAAGCTTTTGTGGTATGTTTTAAAACAAATTTCCTTAATCAGAAAAACTATCTTGGGTAGATTCTGATACAGTCTTAAAGAGCTCCTTCCATGGGTCAATGTCTCCTCAGTCCAAGTGGGTGCGTCCTCAAGGCGCTTCTCTCCTGTAGACTCTGCCAGCACCCTTCCGAGCAGCTTACTTCTGGCACAAATGCACCATTTATCTGTTCAAAATCCTTCTGGGATGAGAACTCATGATGGTAGCATGAAACCCGGGCTTCTGCACCACCCGGCTCCAACTTTTCAGCCACATCTCCAGCCATGACCTCCAGCCACTCTGCCCCAGGAGAGGCACCAGGCTTCTCCTTGGAAAATCTAGTCTTGCTGTTCCCTTTGTCCTGATGACCATTCTTCCTGTCCTCTCACTTGGATACCATTTGCTCTGTGTCACATGCAAACCATCCACTCCTCTATTGTGGCATTTGATGTGTTAAGCTACTAATATGGTTTAGTTAATTGCTTAAGAGTCTCTAACATTAGAGAGCTCCATAAATGTACACAGAACAGATCTGCACAGATCTGTTACTGATTTATTGATTAACTGTGTTCCTGGGGATGGAATCTAGGGCCTTCATACTGAGCTACAGCCCCACCTCTTTTTAATTTTTTGAGAAAAGTTCTCACTAAGTCACTAAGGTGCCCAGGCTGGGCTCAAACTTGCAGTCCTCTTGCCTCTTGGCCTTCCAGAGTGCTGAGATTTCAGGCACAATTCTTTTAGAGTCCAACCTTAGTTTTTGTTCTGTTTGAGCCTGTCCTAACTGTATATAAAACTATATTTTACATTTAGTAAAAGGCAAGTCACACTTAGAAACTCCTGGGGAAATTCAGATATTGTCCTGCTGCCAAAAATTCTAAACAGAATATTCAAGACATCACAGCAAGGGTGGTCTATGTGATAAAATTTGTCTCTGAGAAACATGGAGTTTTAACCTTCCTTTGATGACTTGTGATAGCCTCTTAAAGGTGCTTAAATGTCACAACACTCCTATTGATAAATAAAGGACAGCCCCTGAGAATCCTCTGAATACTATGAATTCAGTTCACTACTTCCACCGAGTATGATGTCCTTACTCCAGTCCAAACACTGAGTTTACTTAAACCCCACAACTGTGTCTGCCAGGCCAGGATGGGAGAGCAGCAGGAGAAACGTGGGAAAGGGAAGTAGGGGAAAGTAAGGTAGTAAATACAATGCCGGGCTACACTGAGAGTCCCAAAATATCAGGAAGATAAGAGCCATTCATCTTCCTGAAGCAAGAACTACTCAAATTCAATCTTTTGTGCCTTTCATAACGATACCAAAGAAGGAGTCAAAATTATCAAACTCTGTCAAATACCAGTTTTCTTTTTCTTCGCAGTGTCCGTAAAGAAATCACAGTAAGAATGCACAAAACTAATGAAAGAGAATAAACATGTTTTTTATTAACCCAAACATCTGTTAGTCTTTAAAATATTTCTGACATGCTGCTAAACTGAGAAGGGTCCCCCCGCTGGGGCAAAGAAATCACCACAGAAATAACTGGCTTGAAAACAGATATCTCAGGGCACACAGCCAGCATTCTCAGGAGACTTTGGGGTCAGAGTGGCCTCAACCCTCACAGGGCATTTTAGGTGGGCATTTGGCAAACATCCTCTTGTTGGCCATCTATAAAACCTCTCTAAGGGCAGAAGTACCCCTGACTATGTTTTTGGGAAACCAAAATCTTAATCTATGGTAAAATCTTAGTCTATGTTTAAATCTACATTCAAGAAGAAATTATGTGCCAAAAGATTTTTAAGATTATCATCACTTTTCAACTTAATTACTGTTTATGTAAAGGTTCTTTTAACTTATTTCCTTGGAATGAAGTCAGAAACTATTTTCTGCTTTATTAAATAGTAAGTGCAGCCTGCAAAAGAAGAGTTTCAAAATTGATTCAAATTTTTTCAAACTCCTCATGCCTACTTCTGGAGAGACAGCTGCTAAAATCAAAGGTAAAGAAGCATAGACCAAATATAAACAGGTCATCAGCAGCCAGAGAGCAGTGCTGATCCTCCATGCAGGTCACAGTTGGAAAATAAGGAAGTGTAGTGGCAGGCGTGGGGGCGGGATGGTGGTCTTTCCTACAGTCTGGGCTGCACTGGCAACTATACCTGCTGTGGACGTAAACTTTACGACAGGCCCTTCCCGCATCGTGTAGTTCACGGCTGTAAGGCCATTCTGGTTTCAAGTCAATAAAGGTTTGTCCTGCACTGCCTCTGTACCCAACCCCACACCGGGACTACGGGGTGGTGGCCTGGTTATCAATGACAGTTCCCCTTCAGTTGGAACTCAAAGCTTTCCGGAGTGAAAGAACACATCCCACCAAAACAACTCCAGCCACAAACTTGCTTCTGGGTGACAAGGGTTTGTCCTCTAGGGGAGCAGCACAAGGCGGTGGTGGCAGCCATGGTCACCAGCTGTGACGACCTAGGGGTAGACCATAGTGTGCTCTATGAGGGAGGACAGCAGAGTGTTGAGACATGTTTCCCACAAGGGGTTCACCGAGGGCGCAGTACTGATCAGTGGTTTTGAATCAAGTATTTGCTTCATTATTTTCCCAACTACCTGGCCTGGAACTGTATGTCTGGCTCCTGGATTCTGCCCGCGCCTTTTTGGGGAAGTGGGTGAAAGGTTACCAGCAACATCAAAACAAGCAGATAGAGTCAAGAAGTCATGCCTGCAGTAATTTTTTCTTTTTAACTAAAGATCAAAAGTGGATGACAAATATAACTCAATATAGGCTATATCTCAGAACCACAAACAAAAAGAAAGCCTTTGGGGAAAAATCTGTTTTCTTTGCCTTAAGCAAGTATCTGTAAATATGTTGTATGGATATAAGCCATTTTCTAAACAGTCTGGGCTCTATACTTTGGAATTCATTAAGTTTTACCCAGTTACTAAGAAAATGGATACTCTAATCATATGGACCACATTTGGGGGCCCAAGGTGAAAAATTCTGGCTAACTTGCACCCTGGTATCATGGGAATAAGCGTATTCACACCTACTGTAGCGCTGTGGATGCTTTTGAGGATAGGCCAAATTTTAAATTTAAAAAAGATTCTTAATAATTCTTCATATTTTTCTGTTTCAAAGTACTTCAAATTTCTACATTTTAAAATTAATGCCTTTTTATAGTGTTAAATGAATGAAGTTAAATCACTACACAGCTCATAATCAGCTAGCTCTCCTCTGGACCTTGGTCCATCCCATAAAGCAATCATCTAGTGCCCATGGCACAGCTTTCTGCAAACCCGTCGGAGTTCTTAATGATCTGCTCACTATGGAAGTAACTCTTGATTATCATCCTCCAGTTATCTTACCAGTTACACCATTTTGAGGAGCTTTTTCAGGACAAATGTAAAGTATATCCAGGTTCCCAATTACACTTAACATTTAAGTAATTAAACTAAACATTTTTAGAAGGGCTAAATACTATTTTTTGAAAACTCTCCTGACTCCTTCCTTGAAAGGCATGCGGAGCCTGGCCCGGCTATGGGACGTGAGGCCCAGCCTGTTCCTTTCCGCTATCAGATCCCCGCTACAGTCCCACCTTGCATGCCTCCATCCCATGAGTCACTCAACCACACTGGTTTACTTTAACCGATACTCCAACTGCCAAGTTATATTTTAAAACCATCAAATCACAGCAGAATTGCTGAGTTTTTTGTTTCATATTTTAAAATTCTAGTAAAACAAATCAGTTCAAGATGGCCTACATGTAAACGCTAAAACTATAATGCTTTACACACTACAAATAAGGATATTTTTAAGAGTAAGGAATAGCAAAGGTTTCTCAGGAGAGACTTGGCAAAAATCACGCATACACACAAAAAAACCACTGGGTAAAATGGTTTCCCAGGATGCAGTCAACAAAAATCACAAAAGAAAAAAACACATGGATACATTGGACTTCACCAAAATTAAAAAACTCCTACTCACCAAAAGGCATCATAAAATAGACAGGCCACAGTAGGAAATACATTTATAAAACTTGTATCATACAAATACTGGTATCTAGGATACAGGAAGACTTTGTTCAAAATAAAGACAAATAATAAAAATGTAAAAATGACTTGAATAGATACCTCACAAAAGAAGATTTATGAAAGGCCAATAAGCAAACACAAAAAGATTAACATTATGAATTACTACAGAAATGCAAATTAAAAGTCCTCCCTCTACCACTATATACCTACCCTGAAGGCCAGCAAAGATTTGGAGGAACTGGACTCTCTTGCCTTTTCAGAGGAGAACAGATGGATACAACTGCTTTGTAAAAGGTCTGGCAATTACTTATAAAATACAATCACTTGTTCTATGACCTAACCATTCTATTCTTCATTATGTACTCAAGAGAAAGAAAAAAATGCATGCGTATACAATGGAAAAAGCAGACCTATACATTTATAGCAGCTTTATTCAGGGGAAACAGGTGTTTGTCAAGAGGAACAGGG